TAGAAGCCGAGCACCCTGGAAACCGAGAACCCGAAACCCTACTAATCTAACCCTCAAGCTGCCACTTCCCTGGCGTGCTCTTCATGCTTCAGTTTACAGGGTTTATGGGGTTTATGGAGTTTATGGAGTTTAGGGTGCAGGGGTACAGGGTTTGCAGGGTTTACAGTGTACAGAGCTGACAGAGTTTACAGGGTATACAGGAATTACAGGGTTTGCAGGGTTTGCAGGGTCTTTACGGGGTTATGGGCTTTGTAGGGTTCTATGAACTTTTATACGGTTTCTAGGAGGGTAAAAGACCGCCCACTTTTTCGGCTCACTCCACGCCGGCGTCGCTGAGGCAACCGAAGCGGCGAAGGGCTTCCAAGGACGGCACTGGCCCTCGGACAGTCAAACTTGGGTTTAGGGTTTAGGGTCTAGGGTTTAGGGTTTAGGGTTTAAGGGTTTAGGGTTTAGGGTGTAGGGTTTAGGGTTTAGGGTTTAGGCTTAGGGTTTAGGGTTTAGGGTTTAGGGTTTAGGGTTTAGGGTTTAGGGTTTAGGGTTTAGGGTTTAGGGTTTAGGGTTGGAGGGTATAGGGTTTAGGATTTAGGCTTTAAGGTTTGAGGGTTTAAAATTAAGGGTTTGGGGCTTCGTTTGGTTTAGGGTTGAGGATTTAGGGTTGAGGCTCTAGGCTTAGGGGGGCTGACTTGGAGTAACACCTTCATGCCCTTCAAAACAGAGACTCTCCCCTGTGTTGCTGGGTAGACTTCCCTTGAGCTTGTACACAATAGGAAATTGCTGTGATTCATTTAGAGAGTTTCAGGGGTCAGAGCCTACCTTGTGGGAGGTTGGGAACAAGGTGCCCACACTGAAAGGATCAGGGGGGTGATAATTAAAGAACTATACTCCTAGTTACACATAACCGCAATTCAGGTACTTCCATCCCTACTTACTAAGTGCCCCGATCCTCCGTGCTCAATTTGGGCTTTTAGGGCTTCACGTGACGGAACAACCCGAAACCCTCAAACAACCCAAACACCCCAAAACTGCCTAAACCCTTCACCCTAAACCCTGAATCATCTCGCCTAAGCAACAAACGCCCTCAACCTCTCAACTCCGAACCCTGGAAGCCTAAAGCCCTACGACCCTACATCCTCCTCAAACGCCCCTGCCCTAAAACAAACCCTAAGCTCTAAGCCCTGAGCCCTAAGCCCTCAGCCCTAAGCCCTAAGCAGCCCTAAGCCCTAAGCCCTAAGCAGCAAGCCCTAAGCCCTAAGCCCTAAGCCCTAAGCCCCTAAGCCCTAAGCCCTAAGCCCTAAGCCCTAAGCCCTAAGCCCTAAGCCCTAAGCCCTAAGCCCTGAGCCCTAAGCCCTAAGCTATGAGAAGGCCCTCCGGCCGAAGACACCCCCCCCAACGCAAACATTGATTTGGCTCTCGCAAGCTTCTAGACCTTGCTAGCCAAGGCCCTTTCGCCATGCAACCTTTACGCTGCCCGAAGTACGGCATTGATTGCACAAGTATTTGGATGTAACCCGGCGTGGTGTGGCTCGTTTTGAGTAGTGTTTGGGTGGTCTTGGGGTGGGCATGTCGTACAGCTGACCACTGCTACACCCTAAGCCCTAAGCCCTAAGCCCTAAGCCCTAAGCCCTAAGCCCTAAGCCCTAAGCCCTAAGCCCTAAGCCCTAAGCCCTAAGCCCTAAACCCTAAACCCTAAACCCTAAACCCCAGCACATGGCCTGGAGTCTCGCACAGCGCGGCAGCCACGGACGTGGCCAGGGCCATCCGCCGGGGGAGATCGAGCCCTGGCACGGTTCAGGGTTTAGGGTTTAGGGTTTAGGGTTTAGGGTTTCAGGGTTTCAGGGTTTCAGGGTTTTTAGGGTTTAGGGTGTTTAGGGTGTTTAGGGTGTTTAGGGTGTTTGGGGTGTTTGGGGTGTTTAGGGTGTTTAGGGCGTTTAGGGTGTTTAGGGCGTTTAGGGTGTTTAGGGTGTTTAGGGTGTTTAGGGTTGAGGGTCTAGGGCGTAGGGCTTAGGGTTTCGGACCCTAACCCCTACTCTGAACCCGTCACACTAAATCGTAAAACCCACAACCCAACACCAGCAAGGAAGAGGCTTGCACACAGGGGAGCGGGGTTGACTTTAGGGTTTAGGGTTTAGGGTTTAGGGTTTAGGGTTTAGGGACAAGGGCGAGGCTTCCACCTAAACTCTTAAGGTTCAGACACCAAGGTGGATCCAGCATCCAAAGGTCGGAAAAAGTATCACGAGTCTGGGATCGGCCAGGGTCTAGGGTTTCGGGTTTCGGGTTTAGGGCTTAGGGTTTAGGGTTTAGGTTTTAGGGGCTAGGTTTTAGGTTTTATATAGGGTTTAGGGTTTCAGGGTTTAGGGTTTAGGGTCTAGGGTTTGGGGTTGAGGGTTTTTGGTTTAGGGTTCAGCAGCTGACCGGGGCTTAATTTGGCTTTATCAGATTTGCAGCGTTTGGAGATCAATTCTATATATAGGTGTTATAGGAACGCGATGAACGCGCCCCAAACGCATGTTTCGGGGACGCAAAGGTTTGTAGGGTTGAACTGGGGGTTTATCAGATTTAGGGTTATATTCTAGGCTGTAGAGGGTTTATAGGGTTTAGGGTTTCCTTCTAGGGTTTGTAGGCTTAATTCTACGTCCAGGGTTTGGAGGGTTTCATAGATTTACATGGGTTTGGGTTTAATTAGGGTTTGGACGTGTTTATCGGATTTCGGGCCCTGTGCCCCCAGCCGAAAAGCCTGAACTCTAAACCCTAAACCCTAAAGCCCAAGACCTATACACCCAATACACCCAATGCACCCTAAATTCCCTAAATTCCCTAAATTCTCTAAATTCCCTAAGTTCCTTAAATTCCCTAAACACGAATCCCTTAACCCCAAACCCTAAACCCTAAACCCGATACCCTAAACCCTAAACCCTCAACCCTAAACCCTCTCCAAACAAGCACTGCAAACGCCACGAACCCTCACGAGGCCTCTAGCCACAGCGGCCACGTAGCCTTCCAAATGCGGCTTGAGGTGGCTTCACCCCTTTGCTGTGAGGTTCGGGCTTCTTAGGGTTGAGGGCTTAGGGTGTCCGGTAATTATCTAGAACCGGGAGTAACCTGGGAATAAAACGGGCACCCTCTTTGGTTTTAAGGGGATTACAAGGGAACCCCAACCCTAAAAAAGGGAAAAAAGGGCCTACTCCCGGTCCCAGTTATAGGGTTTAGGGTTGCTTTTGGCGTGCTTTTTTTTTCGGGGGAGGGGGGCGGGGGGGGGGGCGGGGGGGGGGGGGGGCGGGGGGCGGGGGGGGGCGGGGGTTGGGGGCGGGGGGGGGGCGGGGGGGGGGGGGGGGGGGGGGGGGGCGGCGGGGGGGCGGGGGGGGCGGGGGGGGGGGGGGGCGGGGGGGGGGGGGCGGGGGGGGCGGGGGGGGGGGGGGGCGGGGGGGGGCGGGGGGGGCGGGGGGGGCGGGGGGGGCGGGGGCGGGTTGTTATTAAGGTCTTGTTGTGCAGGAGTTTCGGGGCAGAACGTGCTTTTAGGCTTCAAGGTTTGAGGGCTTGAGTTGAGGCCTCGCACGGCTCTAGGGCTTCCTCTCATGGACTGGGTCGTAGTAAGCCCTATGAGACCCCAAAGCCCTAAACCCTAAACCCTGAACCCTGAACCCTGAACCCTAAACCCTAAACCCTAAACCCTAAACCCTAAACCCTGAACCCTGAACCCTGAACCCTGAACCCTGAACCCTATGCAATCTCGGTACATCTGCCCCCTTTGCCATGGCTTATCGGAGGGTTTAGGGCTGAAGGTTGCCTGGCCAACCTGGGGGTTTAGGGTTTAGGGTTTAGGGCTAGGGTTTAGGGTTTAGGGTTTAGGGGTTTAGGGGTTTAGGGGTTTAGGGGTTTAGGGGTTTAGGGGTTTAGGGGTTTAGGGGTTTAGGGGTTTAGGAGTTTAGGGGTTTAGGGACGGGAGTATGCTCTTACATGTCCAGCCCCCGGGCCCAACAAAAAAAAAAGATGTTAGCTTTCTTTGTCATAGGGACTTAGCTTTGGAGTAGACCCTGGAAAAAAGTATATACTTTTTAGGAATAAGTAGCTATTGTGGGAACCCAGAACCAAAAAAGTATTAAAGTGTAGTACTCCAAAACCCAAGGGTAAAATCTGGCCGTTTACCCTCCGCACCACAAATATTCTAACTGGTCCCTGCCCGTTTTCCAATATTCTAACTGCTAGGTCGCCACTATAGGGGATATAGGTTTGATAAGGTTGATAGGGTTTTTGGGCTCAGGGTTTTTTGGTTTATAGGGTTTGGGGTTGATGGGCTCAGGTTAGGGCTGTAGGGTGTTAGCGCTTGAGGTTTCCTCAGGGTCTCGGACTCTGTAGGTTTGTAGGGCTCATGGTGTAGGGCTTAGGTCGCGCCCAGGGTATTCTTTTTATTCTAGGATGCCCAGTCGTACCCTTATTCCCTTTTTGGGGGGGTTTAGGTTCCCTTATAAACCCCGTTAAGCAAAAAAGGGCACCCTTTTTCAGCCTAGGTTACTGGGCAGCCTAGTGTAAGGGTTTAGGGCCGTTTGCGGTTCAAGGGTTTCGGGTTTTCGTCTGGGAGCATGTGGTCAAAGGGTTCAAACAGGCCAAGCCCGCCATAGCCCTAAACCCTAAACCCTAAACCCTAAACCCTAAACCCTAAACCCTAAACCCAGTCCTCAGACTCACGACTCCTTACATGGAATCCCCGCAGTTAGAATATTTGTTTTCCAGAACCAGCAGTTAGAATATTTTTATTCCAGAACTAGCAGTTAGAATATTTCTTGGCCAAAACTAGCAGTTAAAATATTTCTTGGCCAAAACTAAACGGGGTTCCTGGTTTTTATGGTTTGGAAAACAGAATGAGCAGATAGAATATTTCTGGGGGCAGGGGGCTTGGGGCCTTCTCCAGGGCTCTTTCAGGCCTTCCTGTTTTTCATGGCTCCTTGCAGAACCAGCAGATAGAATATTTCTTAGGGGGGTTTGGGGCCTTCTCCAGGGCTCTTTCAGGCCTTCACGGCTCCTTGCAGAACCAGCAGATAGAATATTCCTGCGGGCAGGGGGGGTTGGCGCCTTCTCCAGGGCTCTTTCAGGCCTTCCTGGCCTTCACGGCGAACCAGCAGATAGAATATTCCTGGGGGCAGGGGGGTTGGCGCCTTCTCCAGGGCTCTTTCAGGCCTTCCTGGCCTTCACGGCTCCAGGGCTCTTTCAGGCCTTCCTGGCCTTCACCGCTCCTTGCAGAACCAGCAGATAGAATATTTCTGGGGGCAGGGGGGTTGGGGCCTTTTTCCTGGCCTTCACGGCTCCTTGCAGAATCAGCAGATTATTTCTGGGGGCAGCGGGGTTGGGGCCTTCTCCAGGGCTCTTTCAGGCCTTCCTGTTTTTCATGGCTCCTTGCAGAACCAGCAGATAGAATATTTCTTAGGGGGGTTTGGGGCCTTCTCCAGGGCTCTTTCAGGCCTTCACGGCTCCTTGCAGAACCAGCAGATAGAATATTCCTGCGGGCAGGGGGGTTGGCGCCTTCTCCAGGGCTCTTTCAGGCCTTCCTGGCCTTCACGGCTCCTTGCAGAACCAGCAGATAGAATATTTCTGGGGGCAGGGGGGTTGGGGCCTTCTCCAGGGCTCTTTCAGGCCTTGCTGGCCTTCACGGCTCCTTGCAGAACCAGCAGATAAAATATTTCTGGGGGCAGGGGGTTGGGGCCTTCTTCACGGAAGTGTATGCACACCACGGTCCAGCATATACTGGGCCCGGTATATAAGTGTTATGTATATGTCTATATGCTTAAGCCACGGTCCGGAGCTTTCACCGAACCCGGAAGTGTATGCACACCACGGGCCAGCATGCACCGGACCCGGTATATTCGTCTTCTGTATATGAATATATCTAATTATGTATAAACCACGGTCCGGAGCTTTCATCGAACCCGGAAGTGTAGGCACACCACGGTCCAGCATATACCGGACCCGGTATATATAAGTGCATATACCCGCCGGGTTTCGATGATATAAAGAGAAAAAGGACTGCAATTTCTGAAAAAGTATTCTAACTGCTAGTTTTGGCCCAGAAATATTCTAACTGCTAGTTCTGGAAAATATTCTAACTGCTAGTTCTGGAAAACAATATTCTAACTGCTAGTTTTGCGCGATGGTAATTTTTTTTGAAAAAATAAACAAATGTACTGGGCGGAGGGTAAACGCCAAAAAAAATATATTCTAACTGCTGGGTCGCCACTATAAACTAAGCTAAACTAACCCCAAACTAACCCGAAACTCATCCTAAACTGACCCTATAAACCCTAAACTAGCCCCAAACTAACCCTAAAAAGCCTAAACTAACCCAGGGTTAGTTTAGGCTTTATAGGGTTAGTTTGGGGTCACCCAGCGCAGGGTCAGAAGACCATTCGGCCAAGAGGCCCGCATGGTAAGCATCGCCAGCTCCCAGGGTGTCAAATGCCTGGCATTCTGGCCTCACCTCGGTTTGGGGTTTAGGGTTTAGGGTTTAGGGTTTAGAGTTTAGGGTTTAGGGTTTAGGGTTTAGGGTTTAGGTTTACGGTCTAGGGTTTTAAGGGGTTAAGGGTCGCCTGGACCCCCAAAGTATGTTAAACAAAAAAGCCCAAAACCCCCCCAAAAGTGCCATAACTTTACATATTTTGGTGTTTGGGTAAGGGTCAAGGGTTCAGGTGTATAAGGTGGAGGGTTAAGGGTTCAGGGTTTAGGGTTCGGTGGCTGCTCTGAAGGGGAAGAACTGGAAGAACCTCTGGGGATCTATGCTCGAAGCTCCGAAAATCAGGATGTAGAAAGTAGGTCTCCCTATTCTGCGCACGTTCTTCCCCTGTACGACTCTGCGCAGCTTTTGCTAGAACCATTCTTCAAGAAGGAAATCTACATTCCTTGCATGTGCCGAGCTCGATACAGGGAAACCAGAGCGCTAACCCCTAAAACCCTAACACCCTAACACCCTAAAACCCTACTTCCTTACAACCCCTAAACCCTAAACCCTAAACCCTAAACCCTAAACCCTAAACCCTAAACCCTAAACCCTAAACCCTAAACCCTAAACCCTAAACCCTAAACCCTAAACCCTAAACCCTAAACCCTAGCCCGACAAAGCCAAACCCCAAACCCTAAGCCCATGGCCTTCACGTGATGCACGTTTTGATCTTCGAAGCTGGTGCCATAGGAGCCATCGAGCCCGGCCGTGGCAATCCTGAGCCGAGAGCAGCTTCCCCAACAACCTAGGAGTTAGGGCTTAGGGCTTAGGGCTTAGGGTTTAGGGCTTAGGGTTTAGGGTTTAGGATTTAGGGCTTATGGGTTAGGGTGTAGGGTTTAGGGTTTAGGGCTTCGGGTATCAATACCAAACGGCGACAAAAGGTGTTTCGAGGGTCCTCGAAGAACCCTCAATGCTGAACCCCGCAACCACCCCCCTTACGCAACAGCACGTGTGCTCCTGAGACACCCCTCGAAACCCCAACCCGTGCACGCCAAAAAACGCACACCCCGGTCCCTAAACCTGAAATCCTAAACCCCAAGCTCCGAACTGCAAACTCCAAACCCCTAACCCCCAAACCCAGATAGCCAGACACCCTAAAGCCTAAACCCTAAACCCTATACCCTAAACCCTAAACCCTGAACCCTAAACCCTGGACAGCCCAGGTTCACGGTCTTGCCCTCGACGTCAGACAAAGCTCTCACAGCACGTTCAGGATCCGCCTCTCCGGAGAGTTCCTTCAAAGGACTCTGCAGACGGGTTTGGGGTAAAGGGTTTAGGGTTTAGGGTTCAGGGTTTACGGTTTAGGGTTTAGGGGTTCGGGGTTAGGGGTTGCATTGATAGATTCAGGGGTTCAGGGTATAACCAAATACGAAGACAGTATCATAGTAGGTAACCAAAGTTGAGGAAGCCTGCCATCGGATCTTGGGTCTCGCCAGTCCTGCAACACCTCGAGTGGCGCAATGACGTGGCTTGCCAACTTTGCGAGCGCCCGACAATCCTTGGATCAATGTGAGGAAATGCAGAGTTTTCGGTTTTAGGGTTTAGAGAGTCTTGCTGCTTGGAGGATCGGGGGAGTTCAGAGGTACACAGTGGCAATATAGGTATCCGAACAGGGGACCCTGATTGGGGTTATCCCGCTTCATACCCCTGTAGCTAACAACTAGAAGCCCTAAACCCTAACCCTGAACCCTAGACCTCAAGCCCTAAGCCCTAAGCCCTAAACCCTAAACCCCAAACCCTATAGTTCATAAAAACCCTGTAGATGCCCAGAGACCTGGTCCAGGACTTCGATGTCAGCAATGACCTGGGGGAGGCCCCCCCACCCAGCTTGGGATCATGTCAAACTGTTCTGGGTTTAGGGTTTAGGGTTTAGGGTTTAGGGTTTAGGGTTTAGGGTTTAGGGTTTAGGGTTTAGGGTTTAGGGTTTAGGGTTTAGGGCTACTTTACCACAACCCCCCCTTCAACCCCCCTCTGCAACCGCTGAAGCTCCCCAAGTAGGTCCCCGACCGGGACACCGCGCGCCGTGGCTTTCTGGACGACCGGAAGAGCCAGGTCGGTCTGATGCCCATCCGTGTAGAGCACCTCGTCGAAGCTTAGGCCCTAAACCCTAGCCCTAAACCCTAAACCCTAAACCCTAAACCCTAAACCCTGAACCCTAAACCCTGAACCCTAAACCCTAAACCCTAAACCCTAACCCTGAACCCTAAACCCTAAACCCTAAACCCTACACCCTAAACCCTTAACCCTAAACCCTAAACCCTAACCCTAAACCTCCCCTAGGATTTACAGGGTTCAAGGGGGTTTAGGGGGTTTGAGGGGTTCAAGGGTCATAGGGGTTTAAGGGTTGTATAGGGTCTGGGTGCCTCGAAGCGGCTTCAGGACTGCCAGGGTGTAAGGGGCTTAAGGGGCTTAAGGGGCTTAAGGGGTTTAGGGTTTAGGGTTTAGGGTTAGGGTTTAGGGTTTAGGGTTTAGGGTTTAGGGTTTAGGGTGTAAGGGGCTTAAGGGGCTTAAGGGGCTTAAGGGGCTTAAGGGGCTTCGGGTTTAGGGTTTAGGGTTTGAGGGTTTAGGGTTTGAGGGTTTATACTCTTCGGGTAGTTACATGGTTTCTTGGTATGGGCCCTTGCAGGGTGCAGAAGGGCTTAAGGGGTTTAAGGGCTCTTCGGGTAGTTACATGGTCTCTTAGTATGGGCCCCTTCAAAGGAGACCCATAATAAACCCCTTATATACCCTCTGCAACCCCAAGGGCCACTAGATCAAAACCCTTCAGTTTACGGGAGGCAAGGGAATATTCAGGGCCCATGTAACTACCCTTTCATTCAAAGTGTTAAAGGGCTTAAGGGCTCCCGCGGGGGTTCTGTAGGGTTCAGGGTGAAGAGGGCTATGGTTTCTGGGTTGGGAAGTTGTGGAGGGTGTAGGTAGATTGGGCCTTAGGCTTGTTTTGTGGGTAAGGATCTTGTCCCCCTAAACCCTAAACCCCAAACCCCAAAACCCAAACCCCTAACCCTAAACCCTAAACCCTAAACCCCCAAGTAGACCCTAAGAAACCAGTGCCTCGAACGCCTGAACGTCGATGTTGCAGATATGTGACGAGATGTCCTAAGCTGGGCCCTAGGTGGGTTTAGGGCTTAGGGTTAGGACTTTAGGGGTTTAGGGCTTTAGAGTTTTAGGGGCAAAGTGAACACCCCCAAAAACGTCCAGGGTTTTCGCGTTTCCGGTTTAGTAGCCGGGAAGGGGGCGGCGTAACAATGAACCCTACGGCGAAAGGCGTAGGGCTCAAGCCTCCACCCTTTCTCCTAGAGTGCTTTGGGGGGGGGGGGGGGGTCATGATGTTTCGGGTTCGGCACTTAGGGTCGAGTGTTTAGAGTCGAGGGCTGGGGCTTAGGGTGTGGGATTTTGCATCCAGGGCTTAGGTTCGGTGACCTTTCGGCGTAAGGGCTTTTAGACTTTTAGAACTTGAGTTGTCTTGCTTGATTTTTTTGTTTTTGGGCGGGGGGGGGGGGGGGGGGGGGGGGGGGAGGGGTAAACCCTAAACCCTAAACCCTAAACCCTAAAAACTAAAACCTAAACCCTAAACCCTAAACCCCTAGGGTGTTTGAATATTCCAGGCCTTGGTATAAGCGCAGAACCCATCCCTCCGAGTCGCATACTCCAGCAGGCGTTCGTCCTTGTGCATGTAGCAGCCTCGGCCGGGCCCAAGCAGCCTCTTGTGAAAGTTGCTCCTAAATAGCCCTAAACCCTAAACCCTAAACCCTAAACCCCTCACCCCTAAGCCCTACTGACTAGCAGCACCGCTTCATGCACTCCCGGCCGATGGTGACGATGGCCGACATCCTGGGGATGAGATGGGCTTCAAGGGTTTAGTGTTTAGGGTTTGGGGTTTAGGGTTTAGGGTTTCGGGTTTTGGGTTTGGGGTTTAGGGTTTAGGGTTTAGGGTTTGGGGTTTAGGGTTTAGGGTTTGGCGTATGGGGTTTAGGGTTTAATTAGGGTTTAGGGCTTAGGCTTTACCACCTCACTTCGATATTGTTAAGGGTTTAGGGTTTCATTGGTGTTTAGGCCTTAGGCCTTACCACCGAGCTTCGAAGTGGCTTAGGGTTTAGAGCGTCGGGCTTACGAAGCGCAAGCTCCCCCTTGCAGTCAGAGGCTCGTGTGCGCTCGCGCAACTTCGATGCACAGCGACGTGTCGATCCCGCAGGATTTGAAGTGGCGCAGCGCGTTGTGGCCGTCGTCGTCGTCCCCGAGCCTCCGGTGGGCGAGGATGGCCCTCAAACCGTAAACCCGAAACCCTAAACCCTCAGCCCTAAGCCCTAAACCCTAAACCCTAAACCCTAAACCCTAAACCCTAAACCCTAAACCCTAAACCCTCAGCGGGAGGCGATGGGCATCCCACTCCCACTCCCAGAGCCCCAGGATGATCCGGCGAACATGAACAGAGCACTCATGAGATCTTGACTTCGTGGTTTAGGGTTTAGGGTTTAGGGTTTAGGGCTAGTATCCCCTGGAACCCCTACAATCATGCCCACAACCCAACTTACTAAGTCAAGGGGGCTTCCAAGCAAGGTCTTACCCCAGAAAGTCCAAACGGACCTTCATTCAGGGTGTAGGGTTTAGGGTTTAGGGTTCAGGGTTTAGGGTTTAGGGTGGTTTAGGGTTTAGGGTTTAGGGTTTAGGGTTTAGGGTTTAGGGTTTAGGGTTTAGGGTTTAGGGTTTAGGGTTTAGGGTTTAGGGTTTAGGGTTTAGGGTTTAGGGTTTAGGGTTTAGGGTTTAGGGTTTTGCAGATGCCCTTCTGCATCATGCGCAAGATTCCGTAACTGAGCAGCCAGGCATCCTAAGCAAGCCCTTCTGCCTAATAAGCCCCAAACCTCTCAGAGTTGCTAGTAGGGGATACTAAGCAGACTTATTAAGTCAAAAGAGCTTCCAAGCAGATCCCCACCTTTAGAGTAGACCCTGAAAAAAAAGTATATAGTTTTTAGGTATAAGTATCTATAGTAGGAACCCAGAACCCAAAAAAGTATTAAAGTATAGTACTCCAAAACCCAGTATCCCTTTTATATACCCTATACAACCCAGGGGGCCCGGACCCCATGATGAAGGCAAGGGACCCTATTTAAGACCCTTGACCTGAACCCTAAACCCTAAACTCTAAACCCTGATCCTAAACCCTAAGCCCTAAGCCCTAAGCCCTAAGCCCTAAGCCCTAAGCCCTAAACCCTAAACCCTAAACCCTAAACCCTAAACCCTAAACCCTAAACCTAGACCCTAAACCCTAAACCCTAAACCCTAAACCCTAAACCCTAAACCCTAAACCCTAAACCCCCCACCACTGAGATGATGCCCCGGCCTGGAGAGCCAGGCCACGTCCAGGCCCAGTTTCGCCATCCCTGTGGGTTTAGGGTTTAGGGTTCAGGGGTTTGGGGTTTCGGGTTTAGGGTTTAGCGTTTGGGATGGGGGGGGGGGGGGGGGAGGAAAGAGGTTCCTAGTTTGGAACTAAAACCGAAACCCCGAAACCCTAAAAACCCTAAAACCACAAAAAAAAACACTAAAACCCCTAAAACCCCTAAAACCCCTAAAACCCCTAAAGCCCCTAAAACCCCTAAAGCCCCCAAAACCCCTAAACCCTAAACCCTAAACCCTAAACCCTAAACCCTACAGAGGTATTCGGACCACTCTCCTTGGGCGGCGTTGGCGCCCTGCCCTCCAACGAACTTCTGCTTGGACTCGACCCACACCTGGTGCTTTCCAACGCCTAGGGCCTAGGGTTTAGGGTTTAGGGGTTTAGGGCTTATATAGGGTTTAGGGTTTAGGGTTTAGGGCTTATATAGGGTTTAGGGCTTATATAGGGTTTGGGGTTTAGGGTTTAGGGGTTTAGGGCTTATATAGGGTTCAGGGTTTCCGACCATACGGGTACCCTTCTTGGGGGTCCCTTGAAGGGGATTCTGTTCTATTCAGGGTATAAACGGGGGTCCCCCTATTTTGGGAAAGGCCCACACCTGAATAATAGGCTTCGGGCTTTATCGGGTTCAGGGTTCAGAGGGTTGATAAGGTTGGGTTGCTAGGGTTGCCAGGGTTGATAGGTGTTTTCTTTCAGGGTTTTGGGAGACACCTAAACCCTAAGGACCCCTGAGCACCACGAGACCTACCAGGCCCAAAGATCCCAAAAGCCCATAGACACCTGAATAGGGTTTAGGGTTTAGGGTTTAGGGTTCAGGGTTCAGGGTTCAGGGTTTAGGACTTAGGGTTTAGGGTTTGGGGTTTAGGGTTTAGGGTCCACTACGACCCCTACATTCCCAAGTCCACGAAGCCTAGGGGGTGTAGGGTTGTCGGGTTCTAGGGCTTGGGCACAGATTTATAAGCACGCAACACGGGACCCTCCATATCCGGCATATCTTCTCTACTTCAGAAGTATGTATATACTGCCAAAGCCCTAAACCCTAAACCCTAAACCCTACACCCTACACCCTAAACCCTAAACCCTAAACCCTAAACCCTAAACCCTCAACTGCAAACCTGCAAGAACTACGCAGACTCACATGTTTCAGTTGAGGATTTTGGGTTTCCAGAAGGAAAGTTGCGGAGGCAAGCGCTTGGGTCTGTGGATTGGGGTTGAGGGCTTCGTCTGAGAAGGGTGATAGATTGTTTCGATGCAACAACATGCGGAGAACGGGCTCCAGTTGTAGTTGTGTGGTTTTGCGATGTGGGGCTTTGGTCTTCGAACTCACCCTAAAGTTCCATGTACCTCATTATTGTACACTTGGGCCCCAAAGCCCCTTTGTAGGAGGTCCTTAAAGGCCCAAGTACTCCCTGTTTAGGTACATGGACCCTTAGGGTCATGAGGGGATTAGGCAAGAAGCCTTGCCGTCATCGGGGAGCTTCTCCACAGAAATGACCTCGCACAGAACGGAACACATGCCACGTTTCGGGTTTGGGGTTTAGGGTTTAGGGTTCATGGAGAAAAAACTCCAACGCATGGGCGGTTCTCTAAGTACATGGTAAGCGGCCGTTCTTGTAAGGGAATGCAGTAGCATAGGCACGCCTCCGCCCCTGCCACCCCCCGCCTGCCCCTCCAAAGGGGGACCTAAATTCACCTCCATACATCCAGAAACTGCCGGTTTAGGGTTTTGGTTTAGGGTTTAGCGTAGAAGGAGTGCCGCCTGGGGGTCCTAGGGTTTTGACGCAGCCAGGGCGCGTGGTCAATGATGGTGTTGCCCATGGCCAGGACACGGAAACAGCGCTGTTGCCAGGCCTTCGGCAGGCTTCCGTGGGCTTTAAGGTTTAGGGTTTAGGTTTAGGGCTTTGGGTTTAGGGCCCCCAGAGTATGGGCAAGGGATTGCTATGGGATATTTGGGAGACCCCAAAACGAATCAGGTCCAAAAATCTGTCTGAAACCCGAGTAAACCCTGACAACCTTAAGGTTTAGGGTTTAGGGTTTGGGGTGAAAACCTGCAACAAGCCCTAGAAACCCCATAAACCCTACAATGACCCTTTCCAAGCCACCCTAAACCCCATTTCTAACTGGGTTGGCCTTTAAGCCCTCTGACAAATATTTATGTAGGAGTCCCTTATAAACCCAAGTAAGGAAAACAAAAAGAGGCCCAACAACCGACCTAGCTAAGCCCTAAACTCTTTCAACCACATCCCCCTACCTTTGGAGTAGACCCTGGAAAAAAAGTATATACTTTTTAGGTATAAGTAGCTATAATAGGAACCCAGAACCAAAAAAAGTATTAAAGTACAGTACCCTAAACCCTAAACCCTAAACCCTAAACCCTAAACCCTAAACCCTAAACCCTAAACCCTAAACCCTAAAACCCAGTCCCTAAACGTGAAAGATCGGCCTGCGGCGAGCGTTGAAGGCGGCCCAGCATCTTCCTCGGCACGCCATCTGTGGGGTTCAGGGTTTAGGGTTTAGGGTTTAGGGTTTAGGGTTTAGGGTTTAGGGTTTAGGGTTGAGGGTTTAGGGTTTAGGGTTTAGGGTTTAGCGTTTAGGGTTTCGGGTTGAGGGTTTAGGGTGGAAAGGAATCCCAGCGAGCTCTTGGCCTGTGTGCTACAGCTTCTTTGAAACCCAGCGTTCCCCAACATTCCGATCTTCCCTTTGGTACCCTCAGCCCTGAACCCTCAACCTCTTGACCCCCTGCTCCCTTCGAGACCCTCCCACAGCAGCGGGGTTAGGGGGCGGAGGGCTTCAGGGTACCTCACACTCAAACCCATACCCATAGCCCATCTTACTAACCCAGACCCCCAGAAGGATCCAAAAGCAGCTGCCCTGAAGGGTTCCTAAAAATTGACCCAAGGGGTCTGGGAACCCTACTGACGAAGTCACAAGCCACGGTTTCGGGTTTAGGGTTTAGGGTTTAGGGCTTAGGGTTCAGGGTTTAGGGTGAGCAGAACCCAAAACGCAAGTCCATCTGAGAATCGGCGTCGTGATCCCCAGGCGCGCGCCAGGCGCGAGGCAAGGGCGTGGCCACATCCGGGTGCTTTGGGGTTTGGGCGCTAGGGGCTTAGAGGGTTTAGGTCCAGGACCCTAGGCCCCTCCACCTCAGGGTATGCAGATCAAGCTGCGATGAGGGTCTAGGCACTAGAACCTAAACCCTAAACCCTAAACCCTAAACCCTAAACCCTAAACCCTAAACCCTAAACCCTAACCCCTAAGCCTAAACCAAAAGCACTTGGGCGTTGTAGGCTCTGGGGGAGCAGAAGTCGTCAAGACCATGAGTTTGGGGTTTAGGGTTTAAGGTTTAGGGTCTAGGGTTTGGGGTTCAGGATTCGGGTTTAGGAGTTCGGGTTTCGGTTTTAAGGTTCAAGGCTTCATCCCAAGTAACCTGAGAAAAGGAACGGACATCCGTGACTTGTTGAACGGGGCCCAGAAGGACGCCGATTGGCTTCAAAGTGTAAATTGGTACCACAGGGAAGCTTAGACCCAAAGGCTTTCAAAGGGTTTAGGGGTTTGGGGTTTAGTTTTTTAGGATTTAGGCCTGGGAGTTGACAAAAAGAATGAAATGGTCACGAACCCTTGCATTTTGGGATTGGCGTTTTTTGTCCCAGCCTGCAAGCAATCTGGCACAAACTAAGTCGGCGGGGTCTTGTGCACTGTGCCTCTTCATGGCAGCCCAAAAGATAAGCCCGACGCTACACGCTAAACTCTGAATCCTAAACTTACCCTAAAAGCCTATACCCTAACCTTAAACCCTAAACCCTGAATCCTAAACTAACTCAAACCCTACACCGTAAACCCTGAATTTACATGATAGCCGCCAAGAAAGATGGCACAGCTCATTGAAACAGGCCCAGCTGAAACCCACAGGGCGTAGGCCTTCAGAAGCTTCAGCAGCGGGTTTAGGGTTTAGGGTTTAGGGTTTAGGGTTTAGGGTCTAGCGTCTAGGGTTTAGGGCTTGGGGCTGAGACACGGGGTTCTAAAGTTGTATATGTACATCACAATCAGGCGATACCTACAGCTACCCTACTTTCAAAACACGACTTATATCCAGCCATGGCCCACAGCACTCAAACCCTCGGAACTTGAACCCTAAACCTTAAACCCTAAACCCTAAACCCTAAACCCCCTAAAGGGGCCTCCAAGGCCCCTCAGCGGGCTGCGTCGAGGTTGCCGCGGATGGCCCGCTTTGCAGCCCCCGGGCCTTTCTTGCCTGCAAGGAGGGTTTAGGGTTTAGGGTTTAGGGTTTAGGGTTTAGGGTTTAGGGCTTGCCTACGAAAAACGACTCCCGCAGACCCCCCTAAACCCCAAACCCGACGCACTTTGTGGCTGATAGTTGAGGGTTATTTTGTGTTGGGGGTTTCTTTAGGGTTGAACTTTAAGGCTTAGGGTTTAGGGTTCAGGGATAAGGTTGAACTGCGAAAGATTTCTGGGCCTTCTCATATTGTAGGACTGTTTAGGGTATAGGGTGCTTACATTCCTTGGCTGTTGGGGAAAGGAGGTAATAAATTCTTAAGGGTTCTTAAGGGAGGGGGGTTCACGGGGGTATGTAACGCAAGGTTCCGACACATGCACTGCACAGGAGCCCTTCTTCAGAAGCTGTCTCGGGTGCCTGAGCTGCCACTACTGTTTGCTTACGCACCCCCCCCCCCCCCCCCCCCCACCCCAACAAGTGTTTAGGGTTTAGGGTTTAGGGTGTAGGGTGTAGGGTTTAGGGAAGTATCTTCCCTTTCAGGGTAACAAGGGGATTGGTATGTTGTCTTTTGGGGTTCTTCAGCAAATGGTAGGCTACAGGGCTCGGCAAAGAAACCGCCTGCATCTGCCGTAGAGTTGTGCAAGTAGCTAATTCATGGATGAGATAAGATTATAAATGTAAACTTCTATTCCTTATTGGGTTTAAGTATCCTTAAACATGTAAATGTCTATTCTTTATTGGGTTTACGTACCCTTAAACATGTAAAATGTTTCCCAACTATGACAAAGGTGAGGTAGGGCTGTAGGGTTGTGGGGTTCAGCGTGCCAGCCTAAACCCTGCAAATTGGGATGTTACCCCATCATGCAAACAGTCCATAATAGGGATTATAGTACCCCCCCCCCCCCCCCCTCTATGAAGGACTGCTAGTACAAGGGGGAACATCCCAACCCTGAACCCTCAACCCTAAACCCGCTAAACCCCAAACCCATCCTCCTCCATGCAGCACCTCCTCGTCCTGCGAACGCAGGGAATCTTTAAGAGTCTTAGGGTAGCTACATGGTCCCTTAGTATGGGCCCTTAAAAGGGGACCCCTCATAAACCCTATACAAATTAAGGGCCCACACATCCGAACCCGTTAAAGGAGGTTAGGGACCATATCAAGGGCCCCTGAAACTACTCTGAGACAGAAACAGGCGTGGGCACACCAGCAAATTTGCCCTTGCTTACTGGCTCAGGGCCTAGGGTTTAGGACTTAGACTACACGCTTGCTATTCTAAACGCTCTGAGCCCTACATTATCAAAACCTGAACCCTAAACTCTGAACCTTCAGACAAGGTAGGTTTTGAAGGGTGTGTAGGGTTCAGGGTTAAAGGGCTGTAGCGATTCCTAGCCGCTAGCCTCCTCTTACGTTTCAGGTAAATGGCATGCACAGTCCTGCACACCTTTGCGGGTTGAGACTTCCTACCACCAGAACCCCAACCGTGTCGACAGAGGGGTGCACCAACAGCCTATAGGACGCTAGACCTCATCAACCCTAAACCCTAAACCCGCCACTCCCTAAACAAGCCCCTCCACCGTAATGGTGGTGAGCAACATGATTGTGTGGGCCGAATGCTTTATCGCAGATGCCCTAACCTTCGGTGGAACAAGCGGAGAATTCGGAGTTCAAAACCGCTTAGGGTTGACGGTTTTCTAGGTGTGTAGCATGACAACAATTTGCTTAAGAACCTCCCCCGCCCAAACAAAAAAAGGATTGTAATCCCTCGATTGCCCTTATAAGGAAGAAACAAAAACATTTTGGGGGGGTTCTTAAGCAATTAGTTGTTTTCTGAGGGTGAAGTTGGTATGCTCCCCCTGATACTAACAGTCCTTAATTGGGAGTCTAGTACCCCCTATTCTAATCCCAAATAAGGACCGTTCGGATAAGGGGGAACATCCCAAGGGTGTCGGATGAACCCTAAACCCTAAACCCTAAACCCTAAACCCTATATATATATATACATACATATTTATTTGTTTTTTATGAAAAGGGGGTGGCGCCTCCTGAACGAAGACGACAGCATCGCCCTTGCTCACAGGGACGTCGACTGAGCCCCCGTCCTTAGCGCTTGGTGCTCGGGGGCTTCGGCCTTGTGGGTAACCCTATAAACCCTAAACAGTAAACCCTAGAACCCTGGAACCCTAAACCCCAAACCCTAAAACCCTAAAACCCTAAACCCTGAACCCTAAACCCTGAACCCTAAACCCTAAACCCTAGAACCCTAGAACCCTAAACCCTAAACCCTAAACCCTAAACCCTAAACCCTAAACCCTAAACCCTAAACCCTAAACCCCAAACCCATCCTTGGAGCCACCTCTGAAAGTTTGACCGCGGGTCAGGCGGAACCCAGTAACCTACTCTTCCAATAACTAGAAAGAAGAAGAGGTTTAGGGTTTAGGGTTTAGGGTTTAGGGTTTAGGGTTTAGGGTTTAGGGTTTAGGGTTTAGGGTTTAGGGTTTAGGGTTTAGGGTTTAGGGTTTAGGGTTTGGGGTTTGGGGTTTAGGGTTTAGTGTTTTAGGGTTTTAGGGTTCCCTAAAAGCTTAA